AATATTGCTGCATTTTTTATAACTTTTAAACCTTAATTTAAAGTATTTTTTCTTAAAAATATTTATATTCAAGTATTTTCTATTCATAAATCAAATTTTTCATCAATTTGGTAGGCAAACTTATTTTTAATAAGAAAAATTTTTTTAAATTTCTAAATGTTAGTTACTGTGTTTTGAAATTGGGCAGCCGTATAGAAAGATAGTAAAGTTAGTATGAAATATTTGGCCCACTCGAGTGGTACGGAAAATTTCATACTAACTTTACCATCTCTCAATACCTCTACGTGTAAAAGATGCAATTTCGAAAATTAATTACTCAAAAACGGTGCGGTTAATTGATCTGAAATTTTGGTAGGGAATTATTAATATATTTATGTTTCAATAAAAAAAATTTCATAATTTTCTGTTGAAATGCCTATCACGCAACAACTACCTTAACTTGAAATTGAAAAAGTATTCATAATAAAGCTCTAATTATAATTACAATCATCTTCATTATCATCATTGTAAAAAATTTTTGTAAAAAAAATGCAACACCACCTGTTAACAGTATTGGCTATGGATGTGTTGGCAGAACGAGCTAAATAAGTGCGCTAGAAGGCTTTTCTACTAAATTTATGCATAAATAAATCTAATAAACATAATATTTAGCAAAATATCGTGATAAAATAAGTGAATCTAAATACTTATCAATAAAAAAAAATTTTTTTTTTTTTTCAAAAAAATCAATAAATATTAAGCTTATTTGATCACAATTTTATGCAAAACATTCACACGGGTCAAGTTTGTAATAAAAGTCTGTACTTTATCAAAAAGAATAAATACTAAACTTCTTTTTAGTGAGACTTCTGAAAAATGTTAAATAAAAAAAAATTGTTTTAAATTGACAGCTGAAGATTTTAAAACAAGAGTAAAGTTTCAAATCAAATAGCCCTCAGTACATACTTTTAAAACTTTTAAAAGGACCATAAAACAAACTTTAACTCTTAAAATATAATGTTACATTATTTAAAATCGTTATCGACTTGTTTACAGAACTTTTTTTAAAATAAATATGCTCTCGACATTAGGTGATTGGTAACATTTGTAAATCTGAATTTATGGGTTTAAATTATACTAACGAAAAGACATTTTGCACTAGAACCCAATCTTGATTTCGCGTTCGAGCTGTGCAATAACTATAAAAAAAAATAAATGGTTATGATAGTTTGTTTATTACTTTTAACGGAATTGCCCAGACGTAATGGCCAATCCAAAAAAAACTCATGACATTGTAAGCATCCTCGGCCATTAAATTCGTCAGAGTTCCGATGTCTGCACCGCTACGTAGATTATTATCTTTGTCATTATCACCCGTCTTTCCAATTTCTTCTTCCAAAAACCCCCAGGAGTATAATCGCAGTGATTTATGGTAAATTAAAGCCTACAAATATTTATAACAAGGTATAAATTATCAATATAAAATATAAAGAAATTAATTATTTATTTATTTATTTATTTAGAAAAAAAAGTCAAACCTGAAGAGCCGTTCTCAGACGAATACCTTCGACATTAACAAAATGCGTTGAGGCCTGGCTGAGGGTACTTTGCAAAATAGCTGCCATAAATATAACAACACCCAAAAAATAGCCATTGTCCATTAGCTGTTCCATTGTAATGTAGTTACCACCCGCGTAGGTGGCGAACGATTTTTTTTTGGTTGAGTTTTGAAGTACTTCAACGTAGTCAATTATTTTTGAAATTGCTACGGGCCCAACGAGAGTAGAAGCGTCGCCAAATAACTTGAGGAGTCCTCCAATGCAGAACGAAACCCAGACGCGTCTCCAGTAGCATCTCCAGAGTGAAGGTTTGGATCTTTCATTCTTTTAAAATGACAATAAAGTTAGCAGTCACACCATTTTTTAATTTTTTTTTTAACAAAACAATTTATTCCAAAAAATTATTATTAAAAAATTGCATTTTTAATTTTTTTAAATTTCTACATGTTAAATTTTTTTTCTCATATTTTTTTCAAAAATTTATTTGTAACAAAAATTTTTAAAGT